GACTTGAATTACTTTGTTTCCCATAACGACGCCGCTATAAAACTAAGATAATATGAATTTATTACAATAGTATGTTCAATAAGAATCTTTACTTTTTTCATCTAAATTTACGCAGTGATTATACTTCGTTTATATTTTAATTCAAATATTTAGTGATTTAAATTTAACTAAACATGAACAAATAAATTAATGTTAGAAATACTGTGCATTAAAAATATTGATTTTGAAACCTATGTATATTGATTAAATATTTCCTCCTCTTTTAACATCCTATGTAATATCACGTAAAATTGACAGTTATTCAACCTGACAAAAATATCTTTGTTAAACAATCTTCAACATGCTAACCTTTTTAACATCCAATATAATACGATGTTAAAAATTATAATAAAATTCTCAATTATGTAAACGGCTAATGTTATTTAAATATATGTACTTCAAGCAATATTTGTTTCTCTATTTCCTATTAGCATAAGTTTCAATCATAAAATATTCAAAAGCGCTCCTACTAACCATTTTCCTCTTTAATGCCTCACACTTATCACTCAAGAAAAGGGAGAAAATCAGCTAAATTATCATCGAACGAATCTAAACCGTCGAATGCATGCATCATTTCTTAGTAATTAACAAGATTCATTCGGTTCAATATTTTATTTCACTTTAATAAACTTCCTTCGATTCGAAGTTCTGCTCGTTTTCGCGAGCTGTTCCTTCAGTTCTATTCTTCCTTCATCCATCCCCTCGATGCTTTTTCCAGTGGCGACGCGAGCCCGTTTAAAGGAATCAGTGGACGGGAAATTAGCTCGGTGAAATCGCTTTCGAAGTTCCGAACAACGAAAGGCTCCCTTTGTCGGTGGTTCAATCGCGAACGTGGAACAGACCGTTTTATCTCGTCGAGTTTCTGCTTCACGACGACGTATTCGCTCGTTATCGCACCCCGGAGGATCATCGGGGGCACGCGTCGTCAGAAGATCGTCGTCGAATTAATTGGCCGAGCCAAACAATAAATATTTGAAATGAAATAGCATAGGATGGGGACGAGAATATCGCCGACACCTCGGCCGGAGCTGAGTAAATTTGCTTGATGATTAATTAAGGAGCGACGCTGACGGGTGGGTGCCTCGGTTCGAGTTATATGGTTATGTTTGGATTCCGTGTGGACCTAGTTTCCATATTTATTGGAACATGTATGCAGATGGTTATAATTTGTGCGCTAATCACGAAGAAGAATAACAAAAATTCATTTGTTGAAATTAAGGTTCGTAAGATTGACTGGCTGCGAATTATGGTGGTGTAAGAGAAATCGTCATAAATCTTAATTACCTTAGTTTAATCGCTGTAATTTAAGAAAACAAAGGCTCTACGAGAAGCTGCTATACCAGACCATAAAACTCATTTCAATTATGTATACTTGCGTCAAAGTCTATATAAATTACACAGACTCGGTCAGTTCAAAAAACCACATATTTTAAATGTATCTCACTTGAATCCAGAAAGACCCTATTAGCCAAAACATGTTTTGTTACTTAACTGAACTTGAAAAAATCTTACATTATTTTAAAATATCCTGACTATAAATTCAAAGTCCATGAAACCACGATTAAGAAACTTGATCCTTGAACCTTGATCGTACGATTTTCTTTCGCTAAGACGAAACGTGGGGAAAAAGTTTCATGTGGGCAGACGAAGCACAAAGAAACGACGATTTTGTTCTGTCGGCTCATTATTAAAAGCCACGGTGTTGTGAACACGTCTCGTGACGTTCAAGTCGTGTTTCGTATGGAAGTTTTGTCGAGCAGACCGAAAAACGAGAGACGAAAGCACTTAGGGAAAAATTCTAGTGTACCTCGGCGCGTATTGTTTACTCCGAGCGGGGGTGGCTCCGTACTTCTTTTCCAATTCACAGAGAAACGTATTCAGTGCGAAACAAGAGAGGAAGGGTAATGCATCGGATCTTAATAACGAGAGTATGGATGGCGGCGTAATTGTCTGAATTAATTTGGAAATGCACAGGTTGTTCTATGGGACCCTATCGATGTGACCTCTGTGCTTGTGGATGTACAGATAGTTGTCACATAAGCCGGATGAATGTAGAAATTGTTTGTCGAAATACTGAGTTTCGTATAGGAGCAACTGTTGAAATTAGAATTGAACATCCATCAGCTTCGAATAACAATGAGATTCTATATGTTGAAATATTAATTCCTTGACAGTTTAATGTGATAGATGAGTATGGCATTCGTAATGCTATATTATTATTGTTATTTATATGTTAGATATTATTCCACTTATCATATTTTTTTAAAAAAATTTATAAAATAACTTGTCATATGCATGTGGTATAATTGACATTTTTTAATTTTATATATAATTTAAAACTATAAGATATGTGTAATTAGGAGATTTATAGAAATTAATGATAATTTATTAATACTAGTTGAATAAGTTTTAACGAAGAGTTTGAGTAATTTATGATATCTGGAAAAAATTTTATTCTTAATGTTAGACTTTCTGCCTGAGTTTTCTCGCACTCGTTCGAACAGTAGTAGTAACGTCCTATATTGGTCAGACATGGCGTCGAACTATTTCTGCCTGAAGTCTCCGCAATTCACTATTACTATTAATAATACCAGTCCACCAATTACACGTACCATGTTTCTGAAGTAATGGCAGCTATGCTATCCTGGACAACAGAGATCGACGTCTGTCAGATATCTCGTTTTCCAGCATCTGCCGAGTTTCAGTGATAGTACATTGCAAGTCTTTGCAGGGAATTGAATATCTCTTCACTCGTACATTGACGTAGAAAAGAACAAAACCAATTAGCCTAAGTATATTCAGATGAAAAACGTATTTTTGCGAAAAATTTTAATTAACTCGCTCCGTGACTCTCTTAGTTTTATTTTTGAATATTGGAATATTGGAATTTGAATAGTGTTGTTCTTTCATTATCTTAAGCTATCGTATCAATGAATTTCTTGTTAGTATCACTTTTTTAGATAAAACGCTGAGAATGGTACAATAGTATATTTATTTTTCACTTTACCATAATTATCTTATTTCATTTTGCCAAATATTACTAAGCAATTTTCTATAGAATTCATGGTTTTGAATGTGGATTAAAAGACACATACATAATGTAGACGTATTAAATATAACTGTACTTCAATCCCTGTAATTATTAATACACTGTATGCTCATGTATTGAAATACACTAAAATAGAAACCTCTACTTTCTTATACATATTCAAATATTCATAATTTCCGATACCAATAAAATTTTTATTCACTTAGCATACTTAGGGTGGGCATAAATCGATGTTTTGATTATAAAATAAAGTTGATGCTTATTAACGGCGTTATAGAGAAAACTGGCTTACACTTTGTTTTGAAGACTTGATTACTTGCTTAAAATTAACACATATTTTGTGATTTATACACAAGAATGTGTACGCGGAACAGATCATATAGCGGTAACAACCAGAAATTAATAGTATTTAATCCTAACTCAATTCTTCTGAAATAATATTATTCAAATTCCAGCACCACAAACTCATAAGAATGCTCTGCGGCGACCTAAAAGATCTAATTTATCATATCTCTACTACTCCCTCCTAAAATCAATTTTTCCCAATTCAAGGAATCGACTTAAACGGAACAAAAGTCTACTAGAGAGCTACTTCTTGAGACAGTTCGATTCATTTTCTTCACACAAAAGAACGATTCACCTTGGCGACGGGGAATGTCCCATTCCATGCACGACAGCAAACAATGGTTGACAATTATCAGAACGCAGAGGTCCTCCGTTGACCGATCGTTGACCGGGTTCCAGAAACCGTATCACGCTTTGAGCAAGGACGCCTACTGCATGTGGACTCCTATTTTCGGTGGCCGCAACACGACGTGCGCCTCTCCAGTTTACAAATCCTACGCTATCGATTTCCTATTAGCATTGGGTAAACCGCTAACGTTATTAGCCAAAACTGGAAAGCTGGTAGTCGTGGACTAGCGCGGACCAGATACCGATATAAGAGTTGTATATATAGAGATATACATACATGTATATAAATCATAAAGCAACGCGATATCGGTGTTACGTTAACCTTAATTACGTTGGAGCGTTAATGTTCGCATTGCTAACGACTTTGGTTACACTAATGCCTCGCATTTGTGCATGCGTATGCAATGTGTCAGTGCGGGCCTAACGGAGCATGCTAAGGTGGAGAATCGTGCATCAAGCAAGCGTGTGTGCCAGTGTGATAAGGAAAGTTTCTAAGTTTGCTGAAAATGAATTAAGAAGGAATCACAGCAGTAAGATTATTCTGAATTTAGTTTTCTTCTTTATGTATATTGTGGTAGAATTAAGAATATGTTCTGTTTACTGATGTCAGGAATATATTTATAAAAATTGTTTAGAATTACCCTCGTTTAAATTTGATAAGAAAGTAGATCATTTTACTGCTGTAACCTCCTCTTACGAAAAATATTCTTAACGAAACCTAAATTTAAAAGTAAGATGAGAACGCCAAATTCATACGATGGAACTCAGTCGGAGACGATTAAACACGATATTGTGTAAATGTTTAATTTATTTCAGTAAATGTACTTAACAATTCTATGTAATATTTATTAATTTGACGGTAATATAATGTGGCACACAATGTTGAATCCTTTGCACTTGATAGTATGAAACATTAGTTCAAATATTTATGTATAAAATTAGAGAAATTTACATCATCTCTTTAAGTTATCTTATGAAAACTACGATCTTCTTTCGAATTCCTAAATTTCTTTTTTATTTTTGAATTTAAGTTTGTTTTTATTTCTAAGTTTCTATTTTTATATATACCATCAACTTTCTTCATAGACGTCGAATTTGGCGTGTATGTATATAATAGCGCAACAAAGACGGTGAGAAATAGTTCGAACGATACGTTATGGAAGTTAGTTTGTCCTGGAACATGTTCTGGAAGAGGAAGCAACTAATACTTGTTACTCACCGTCGTTGTTAGTTCTGGCTCGGGGCGGGGATGAGCTGACCGTAGGGAAATTCCGGGAGATGTTGTCCCTAGGCTGAGATTGTGGCCCTTCGAGGTTCGGACTAGGACTGAACTCGGCCCTGAAGTCCGCCCTGTCGAATCCCTCCTCAAATTGATGCATCAAATCCACCTCGTCCATTTCCACGTCGCCTTGATATTGTTCTTTCAACACAGCTCGTGGTACTGTAACCAAAGGAATGGAATGAATCGCGGTGAATGAGGTTCTAACAGTAAATTCAAGCTGAATGAGAAACATAAGAAACTCGAATTTTTCACGCATTTTCATTTAGCAGCAGTGAAATCCTCTACTGAAACTCAGCCACTATGCTTATGCACACTTCTTGCTTTATTTCTTACCTGGCTGTTCATTTTCATAGAGTCTCCTATGTTTTCGTTTTGTTTGTTATTTAATTACTTTTCTATTGTGCATGTTTTATAATTATTTAGAGCACAAATATTTTTTATTTTCAAGAAATGCTTTAATGCAATGTAGAGTTGACAGAAGTATCAAAGAAATTTTGTTTACAAAAACGTTTCCTCTTCTTATTGCTTTTTATAGTTCAGTTTGTGTTGCATGGATGAAATTGATTTTTACTGGTGACAATATTTATAGTTGCTCCTTGATGTAGAAAATGGTTCTTGCTTTACCTCATGGTAGTAGTAGAAAAAATAAATATTCTTAAGTGTTACTATTTTAATGAAGAATTTTAATTACGTAAATAAATTTTTTCTTATAGAAAGGATTAAATGTAATTTCTACAAACTAGTTGTATAGTTAACACTCAGCCTAAATAATAATTGTTTGGAATACACCTATTAAAAAATCACTCGATGAAACATTCAAATATCCAGTAACCTTCTCATTAACCAATAGTAATATTATAAACATATGAATGTTTTCAACCCATAAATAACATAATTCATTAACAACTTTTTCGTCTACGTATATAAACAACGGAAATGAAATAATATTAGTTTCTGTCAGCTATATAAGATTCCCTGTTCCATAATCTGACAGTAGTCAATTTATTTCCGGCCGCATAATGTTCGACTTCGATATATGGCTACGCTACCGATATACCGCATCGCGTATGCAATTCCATTTCAAACGGACGAAATCTGTGTCTCGCACTGACGCGAACGTGTTGCACAACATATTCTGAGTTACTCTGGCATGTAAAAATTTGCGATAAAATTAGCACTCTGTCGATACGTTGATAAATCGATCTGGATTTCGCGACACTGAATTAAAAAGTCGACACAATTACGTATATAATAGTCGTCTGCATAAATTATACGTGTGTGGAGAATTACATCCATACTGTTATGTGCATAACTTTATTTTGTCATTCATATTAAATGTTTGATAAGAAATAATAAAAAATTATGAAGGTGGTTTTACGAGACTAAATAAGATGAAGATGAAAAATCAAAATATTGTGTTTGAAGTTTTGTCTATTAGTTATTGATGTTAAAAAATCGACCAAATTATAGTTCTTGTTGAGAAAATAAATTTTTCCTAAATTTTCTATCATCTACTCCCGAAGATCTTGTATAGCGTGTGCTTTCAATGGTAACATAAATGCATATGCATATATATGCAAAATGGTGGCATATATAAATAGCAGATATAGAATGAAGTTCTCACGCAAGACCTCGTTTCCGAGAAAATTAATTTTGTGAAATCTACAAGTACACGTACAAGTATATTAAGAATTAGATCAAAAGCTATGGAAAATTATATTTTAGGTTGTTCCTTTTGAATTCTTCCTTAACTTCTTCTGTGCTTTTCATTGCATCATCAACCTAAAATTACATTTTTTTATTATTTCAGAATACTTTGCAAATATTGGCTTTTGTATGGAAAGACAGAAATGAACTAAAAAGAAAATGATTTACTAAAACAAAATGAGCACCAATAAAGGCTCTCTGCATCCGTTATATGTATATTTTTGACAATGATATTTTGAAAACACTTTTTCAATTAAAAACCGCGATTATAATGATAACAACATTAAATTTGCACTTGAAATTTTCCTTATTGCACGTATTGTTATAAATATTTTCCTGCTAGAAAAGTACACATACTCGTATGTATTACGAAAATTAGTTTTCAGTCTCGAAAATGTGATATTATTAAATTTCTTTGGCACATGAAAGATTAATAGTTGTTGAAAAAATATGATTTTCATAAATGCCTCTTAGGCAATGTCGTCGTATGAGTCGCTTTATCTTGAAGTGCAACGTGATGACAGAATAAAAGCTTAAGCGACTCTCCCGACGAAGATAAAAGTTATATCTTTAGGCGAAGCGTAAAAATTTAGGTGATCTCGCGTACTGGTGCGAAGAAAAAATTCTTTCTTTATCGCTTAACAAAGTTTAAGAAAATTGCAAATGGCCATTGAATTATCATTACGTGCACTACTTATACAATGGAAGTTGATTACTAAATACTAGTTGAATTTCTTGAAAAAATTGATAGCATGTATTAAGAACATAGTTGAATGCAAACACATGAAAACAGAATTCTCTTTAACTTCTTCTTCGTCAATAATTTGTATGTTGTAAGGAGAACATGCTTTTCAGTTTTAAAATGTTTTTTAAATTTTGAAAATATGTTTATAGAAAGACTAATTTTTCATGGAAAAAATGTCAACCATTTATTAAGTACCTGTAAACCCGTTTCGTGAGAATTTACTCATAAAATAAGTAATTTTGATAATTATTGGAATTGAAAAATTCTTTCAGAACAATTATCATATTGTAAGGAGTCGAAAACAAATAAAAGGATAATAAATCCGTGAAAACAATGATACCATAAATAATTCGCAAATCCTGAAAAGAAATGGCGATTAAATTCAATATTTACTCTCACAATTAGATCAATAAGGATACGCTATACATTTGTCGCATAATGAACACAGTCCAAAGTTAATAACCTTTTCAACTTCTAATTGCAGACGAAGCTCTCGTATAAACTTACGAATTTCTGTGTAAATGTTGAGAACATGACCAACTATAACAAACTTTCGTAAGTTTCGAACAGCTTTGAAGTTACATTTCAATTTGGAGAGACATCTCTCTCTCTCTCTCTCTCTCTCTCTCTCTCTCTCTCTTTCTCTTCGCGAAACAGCGAAGATAACATTTTTCAGAAAAATTTGCAATTTTAGCAGGCGCTGAATCTCCTTGAAATTTTACGTGGCATCCTTTCTTTTTTTATTTTCTCCTCTTACTATTTATCAACTGCATTCCTACTATAGTGTAGTGTAAAAATACGTAAGAGAAAATGTCCGCAGATAATTTTGTCGCGTTTTACGTCAAACGAGATTTGCTTTCGTGACCCGACATAAAGAAACAGCTCCGCTAAACTATATGGAGCACATGTTGCCCTTACAAGTAACCCGCTCATCTTCCTACAAAATTATGTTCCTATTCCGCAAATAACTATTATATTTTAGGGATATTACATAGCTGACGTTCTGATTTGATATTTGCACCCGAGAGAATTCCGTTTGTTAAATGAAAATTATTCTAGGAGATAAATCTAAAAGAAGAGGCTTTAAGAATAGAAATTTTTTAACTTTTATTTTAATTTTGTTATCATTCGGAAATTTATGATATACGTGCAGATGTTTAATAATACAATATTAGCGCCTGTATGCTCTTTATATGCTTTTCAGGACTCATACTGTACAATAATTTTTTCATTAGTTTTTGTTCGTTAGAATGTTTTATCATAGAAGCTAGTCAAATGTTGGAGCTGAAATTATCCATTATTAATTTGTGATACTAAAAATTATAAGTAATCTGTACCTGAGAAGGATTTGCAGAGTAATAAGCAATAAGCAACTCAACATTTAAATTGTATTTATTGAAAAAAAGGTACAAATCCCATCTTCAAGAGTGAAAAGATTTATTACTACAAATAATAGTTCGTAACTGTCAATTTATAGCACGTTTGGAAAAGTGATTTAATTTTGATTGATTTTGAGTTTTTTTTTTTTTTGTTTCACTTAAATCATCGGAGCTGTCTTTACTGCAACAGCCTCTTCAGTTAATTAATTAGAATACAAATGCCAAAACAAATATGATTATTTTTTATGTCCATCATAATCTTCATAAAAATCACTTCCAAAAAATAGCCCCAAAGCAGAAGTATAATAAAAATGTAGTTATCCGAACAGATAGGGTGGCATAGTTCGTGTAATACACAACAGAAGCTATCGCGAAATTATGACGCGACTAAACCACCAGTCTCGAGAGTTGGAAGTAGCAACCCCTCGTATAGTTTACTTACTGCAATTAATAATTGCAATTTAACACCAGTGTTGCGGTGTTGGCCGGTACAATGGATTACGCTAGCTTTGGCACCGCAAGCACAGCTTCGATGCTTTAACTGAACCGGATACATTATAACCCCGCCGTTCGCGGATAATGGAACAGAGAAAATGCGAGGTCAGGGAAGATGCATCGATGTGACGGTGATACAACGAAGAGGTGTTCTGTTTCCATGAGATATTGAATAAAAATTCCATTTGTCTTTCTCGGATGACGATGAAATGGAACACAATGAGCGTGAAATGTTTGATACTTTCACGAAATTGACGAGTTTAAATATAATAGTGAACAATATACTTGTAAAACAGAATAAAAAGTTACTTTTTTAGTAAAAAAGAATAAGTTCTATATTTTACAAAGTTTTGTAAAAATATTGTAAGTATTGGAAAAATTTATATTAGAATTATAATATATAAAATATATAATATAAATATAAAATATATAATATATAAAATCGTCAGTTGCAATTTCACTGTGATTGGAAAAGATAAAGGTCCTAGCAGTCTTCAATTTATATAACCCGGTACAGTTTTTATAATTCATATTCAATTGATAAACGATATAAAAATATATTTTAGAAATTATTTCTAAAGCCACTTAAATGATGAATTACAAGAAAGTTTGCATATTGTAAATCTCAGTCTGTAGCTTCATACATTATTTCACAAATTCATGCGTACATTATATTTAACTGACAGAGGCTACGTTAGTGTACATTGGATATTCAACTATGCTCTTTTGCAGTGAAGTAAAATACCAGATCCATTATAATACCGTATAGTTGTAATACTGATTAAATGTTAAAATACTCTTAAAAGAGGGCACAGCTTACAACCAGAAATCACAAGCAAAACGTATAAGGCTTCACTTTTTAATTGGAAATTTTTGAGCTTATAAAGTAGTCTAAACTCGTATGCATAATTTAAATCTTTTAAAGATTATATAATGTTTTTACATTATAAAGTTTTATTTAAAGAATAAAATGTAAAAATTGTACTTTGACAAATAATAAAATATTAACAAATCTGTTG